TGCCTAGTGTGGCTATAGTGGGTAGTGTGGATATAGAAGTGTGTGTGTGTGTGTGTGTCTGTATAGTTATTAAATAAAATATATAATAAATATAGAAATACATATCAAAACCCCATATAGTGTTGTAAATTCTCCAATTGTAAAATCTTTGTCCAATCAAATTTAGTTTGTTTGGGAGTAAAGAGATGGAGAAGCTGCAATCACAGCTCATGTCGCATTTCTTTGGTGCAAAATTCAAAGTCTACTTGTGCCAAAAAAGGGAAATTGCCCTTCAGTGTTTCTCTCCAAGGATCTGCTTTTAAAGAGGACTCATCACAAGGGAAAATGCAAAGCTGTGTCGTTTCTATCCTTGCCACCTCTGGACCAAAGAAGATATTTAATGAGGAGATTATGGGTTGTTGAGGGAGCATTAAAAAATAGCTTCTACATCAGCCTTGGGACTGTGTGTAGAAAGGAAAGGTTCAGCTCCTTCTCTTGTAGCCAGAGTGAAATCTTTGGTCTCAAACGGCTGTTTGCATTTCAGAGGAAAGTCCATTGTATTTTTTTAAAAAAGCTATTTTTTAGAACACAGTTTTCCCATGGCAGCTTACAATACTTTAAGGTCACACTTTAAAAACATTGAACTAAACATAGTGGGTGAAAAAGGTACAGCATAAAAAAACTACAGAAACCAATACAGTGGAGAGAAAATGAAATAAAACGTTTCATTGCCAATTAAAGGTATTCATGTAATAAATAAATTGGGTGGTGGGGGAGGAGAGAAGAACCTGGGGGGTTGGCTAGCTGCTGCTGGCTGGACACCCCGAGAAGATCTTGCTAGGGCAGGTTTTAAAATGCGTCACTGGCCAAGCAGCCAGTTCAGATGCTTGCATTTTCAGGAATAAATTCATGAGGAAAGAGAGGCATGTATAAATTAGCCACGCTTCTTAAAAAGGGCCAGCGGCCAAACTGAATCATAGGCAGGGAGCCGGAGCAGAAGGCACATCCTGGCTAAAGCGTTGCCTGGTTTGTTTCGGCCATCAGGTGTGCTGCAGCTGGAAGGGAGACAGCTTTAGAAATGGCTGCTCCCCCCCCCCCCCAACCGTGCACGGAGGAGTGGACTGTGAAGGTGGCCAAGTTTGCCTCTTGGATGGGGGAACAAAACAATAAGTACTTTTATAAAAGATTGGAAACCTTTTATGGACTTTTTGCTGAGCGTGGATAAAAATGAACTGGTGATTTCTGGAGTGGCTGATTAAAAAAAGGGTCGGATGTGGGAAGGACGGAACTCTAGAATGTAGTTCTAGAGGGGGAGAAATGGTAAGAGTTTGTAACCACTGTAAAGAAGATCGGAAGCCGCTGCTTTAACCTTATTTTTCCTTTTTCCTTATCTGTGCTGTTTCTAGCACTTTTTCTTTTATCTTTCATCTTTTTCTACTTTCCTTTTATATATTTTTTATTGTTTATATTTTAATTATGTAAAAAAAACTCTCAATAAAACTAAACATATACAGGACAGCAATTTCATTCATTCATTCATTCATTCATTCATTCATTCATTCATTCATT